ACAAGCTTCCATGATGCAATTCAGACTGAAACTCAACAACATAGCACAGGTCAAAGGACAAGGCCAAGCCCTCAGGAAGGCAGGAGTCATCAACATGATGTCTACTTCTCTGTGTAATGAGGTGGCCCATTTTGCCACAAGGGCTAGTCACCACCTCAAGACTCCTTTACTGAACTTCTCTATTCTGATGAATGGCATTTAAACAGTTTCATCTGCACACATTTTAAAGAAGAGGATTTGGCAACACCCGCCCCCTCTCCAATCTTCTCCTTTCTACCTATCACAACTTCAAAGAATTAGACTGAGCCACTTCCACTAAATTAATATATTAAGTTATTTGTAATCACTTACTAATTAAATGGTCAGGTGCTGTGATAATCTCCTTTTCCCCCCAAAAGAAACAGGGCCCTCCATCACCTAGAAAAACAGACACAAGAACTAGTAAAATTGAACTTGAATTAAAAGACACTGACTCAATAAAACACCCTGGTCCATTGTGCAGAGAGCTTCAGAACACTGTTCCAACATTTAGGGAGAATTGATCCTGGTTCACTGGTATCAACATCTGTAAATAGACACAAAGAGGTAACTGTAAGTTGTCAAGAGCTGGGAAAATAGGAGTTACCATATAATCACCTCAAAACAACTAACAGCCAGTGTACCATTCACTCTTATTGCAGCACTCTTACTGAAGCAAAATCAGATTAATTTTAAGTCATCTATTGCACACACAACTCCAAAACGAAGTGGCATCAACTGGTCTTCTAGATTGCTCATGTTTCAGAAGAGCTTGTCCAAAAGCCCCTAGAAGTTGAAGCAACAAATCCACTCGTTCCCTGGGTTAATAAAAGGCCAGTTCAGCTGTGAGAATCTAAATTCACTTAAATTTGTGGATTCTTTCCCCAAATACAATTAGTAACCAATGTAGGAATCTATGACTTCTTCCTGTATTCAAGTCTCCTCCCACCCATTGGCACCCCCACCTTCAGAAAGAAGAGCCATCAGTCTCCAAACTGGCTGATGGAATTTCAGCCTACAGGATATTTTCATACTTGAATTAAAATGAACTATAAAATGAAGATGAATAGTGGACAGCTTAATAATCCATTAGCTAGAGCATTTGAAATCCAGCATTAGGATACAAAGTCCAAAATTCTTCAACTAGGCCAAAGCCGTGTGTGTGTGTGTGTGTGTGTGTGTGTATCTATATAGATAGATATATACATACATACATAAACCTATCAATTTTCCATTCCCTGCAGTATAAAGGGTGGAATCTATCGTTTGCCTGGTCCTAACTGTTCACTTGCATCTGCATTCAAATTGGATTTCAGTAAGTTAGTACCAGGCTCAAGTCCCTCCCCTTCTTTACTCCCAGGACTACCCAGGAAAACTATTCAATTTACTTTTAATAATCCATCTACCCATGCTAGTAAAGTACGAGAACCTAAAACAGTGACAAGTCCTCAATTTCTGATTCATTTTTCCCAAACACTAAAAGATTTTATTTAGCATTTCTAATGTTAACTTTACTACAAATAGCCCAAGCAACATTTAAGTCTCTCAGTTGCCGAGCTCAAAGGACCAATTCACTCAAAGAACACACTAGTCACTGTTGCGGGGTTCAAAAGAAGAAAACAGCATATTCTTTCTGTTTTGGGCCATTGTGACATGGCTCAAGAGGGCCAAATCAAGGAGGAGTCCTGACTGGGCCTCTCAAGTGGACAATCTGGTCAAGGTGAGGCTGAAAAGCAGCTGACTGCTGGAGATGAATGGCCCCAACAGAAGGCAAAAGTAGGTTACATCACTTGGTTACATGCCGGCCCAAAGATGCCGACAGAGTGGGATTGGGCCCACAATGGTCATTTATCTAATGTAATCCACTCAGTGAACTTCCAGCACCAACCTACACCTCAGCTGAGTGTTATTAGTCATCAGGCAGACCAGACAAGAGTGGAAATATTGCAACATAAAACCTGCCTCCCTACAAGAAACAACTTCAAACTTAGATCCTGATGGTCATCTTTGTAGAGCTACAGCGGCGTATTATTATTACGTGCCCAAACTTCAACCCTAAATTCGCATACTGCTGGAAGCAAAGCAGGATTCATATACTAGAACATATTCAGGGTACTCATTATGCAATTTTAAAAAGCGTGTGAGACAAAACCCTGTAAAAGACATGCTCTCAATTGAACATCCCACTGAATTCTGAACACATGCCTTGAGATTCATCTGCCAGAAAAGACTCAGATGACCACTGCCTCCTCCTCTTCCACTCTCAGCAGGGTGACTTTTTTTTTTTACTATAACAGTCCAGCAGTACCCTCAAAATAGTATGTGCTAAGATTCTAGGAAAGGCAACAGAATTAATCAAAAAGGAACATCACTTTCTATTTCCTTCTCCTTCTTGCTCTCTGACCCAGACTCTTCCCACTCTCTTCTTTGCTCACCAGGTTCTATTACTGCCTTCCCTACCCCATCCTCCCTCATCTCCCTCGCCTCCTCTCCACCCTCCCCTTTCTTCCCATTCCCTGGAACTTGCTAAACTCAGTCCAGCCAATTTCTGCACTAGCTAGTCCTTGAACTTGGAAGACTCTTCCCATATCTTTGCATGGCTGGCTCCTATTTACTTAAAGCTCAGCTTAAGTGTCCCCCCACCCCGAGTAAGGTCTTGACTGTACCCCAGTCAGACACTTTCTGTCACATCACTCTTGTTTTCTTCAGCACTTATCAAAATCTGATTTGCTTGTTTATCCGTCCCCACTCCTCACTCCAGTGTCAGCTCCACGAGAGCGTGGTCCTTATTGCTGTGTTCACCTCTGTATGCCTACTGCCAAACACACTGGCTAGCAATTAGCAGTCAGTCAATAAATGTTTGTTGAATGAATGAATTTTGGACTTTTTATTCATGATTCCAAATCAGTTAAGGTGAGAACAGTAGTCATTTTTTTTTCTTTTGCTGCATTTCTCTGAAACATCTAAACATGCTGTTACTTGTACAATCAAAGCATTAAATATTCTGTTTTATCAGGCCTGAAAGCCCTAATGAGTAGGATGGGACTCGTGATAATTCTTCTGGCAATATGCATATAAACTAAGTTAACAGAGGCACATGATTTATGGACACTTCCTAATCAAAGGATCCCTAAAATCTGGGCACCGACACTTAAAGTTCTTCAGAAAACACAGTTTCAGACTCAACAGAGGATTTCCAAAGAAAATACCAACACCAAACTAGGAACCACCACATTTCATTCTGAAATCGTTGTGACAGGCTCAAGTAGTACTACTTTTTTCCTCCTTAAACCATCAGAATATCAACAGAGATCTTTTCCAATCATTCTTTGCTTTCTTCAAATAATTTTTTCACATCCACTATTGGTTTATATTCTTCCTTAAAACAAAACCAAGAAAATCACACTGTCTCATTTAAAATCACCAAACACAAAGAATCAGTTAAATAAATACGATGGAAATCAGAACAAGCCAAATGTGTCACTGAAGACTTGTGTGCCAGACACACAAATGGAGAAAAAGATAAAAGAGCTATTGTCACTTGTAGAAACAAAAAAGTAATATGGGGTTTTCTGTTCTCCAAAGTGCAGCATGAAGTGTGGGTGGAGAGAAACACAGAAATCCATAATTAGCCTAACATCAAATCATTTTGGAAAGAGTTGACAACATTTAAATTCCTCATACATAAAAGTATTTAGAGCAAGAGACCTTGATTCCTGGGCTATGATGCCATTTAGGAATCCTTGCAAGGGCTTTGGAATTCAATATCCGTAAAAGAAAATGCTCATCTTCATCGGGAGCGACAAGGCATTGAGAGGTGCTCCCAAAGAAACACAGCCTGTAACTTAAGTATTACAAAGCTTGTAGTTAAGACCTGGGATAGAGGCGGAACACCAAATTCAAAAGAGGTAACCAATGTACCAAGTGCCATAAAGGAAAAAAACACCACGATTACCACCTAGACACGGAGAATTAAAGTGGAAAGGAGGGGTGTGCATGGAGGGAGGATGGGGGGTAAGGGGGAATGGAAAAAAAACAATACATTTGTCACCCTGTCTCACTTCCTATACAGGATACAGGCAAAGCCTCCAGCCCCGTTACCTCGGGCACAGATGGTTATCGTTTATAGCAAAGGTGCACAGGAAGGCCTCCGGGTCTGAGCCCCTTAATTCCAGGGCTGTTAATGATTAAAGAGAAGGATGGAGGTGGGGAGGGAAATGAGGGCGGAGGGAGCTGGAGATTCACCCACCACCTCCCGCCTGGGCTCCTACCTCACGGCGCTTACCAGGGGCAGAGGAACAGAGTCTGCACCCCACTCCAGGGCAGCTCCGGTCCCCAGATCCCCAGGCCCTGGGTTGAGGGGTGCTGGCGGTGGGGAGGCAGGGACAGTAGGTAAGTTTTCTGAGACCTACGGCTGACACGCCACAGGCTCCCCTCACAGCCTCTTCCTCCAGAGGGACCAGTCCAGACAAGGCGCTGATTTCCACTCCTCCCCTTCCACCCCCTCTTTCTCGAAGGTACCCAACCCCCGCCCCTTCATCTCCCAATGCCTCCCCCTTTCCTCAACACCCCCCCTCAAACTCACAGCTGCTCCAGAGGTTCCTCCAGTCAAACCCTTTCTGGAAACGACGGCGGCCCGGCGGGTCCAAACCACCTACCATCCCCGCTCGCGTTTCCAGGCTCCCTACCGCCGCCGCCGCCTCTTCTTCCACCACTGCCGCCGCCTCCTCTTCATCTGCGGCCCGCCGGCGGCGGCCGCCCCGAAGCCCCGCCCCCTCCATCGCCTCCTGCATCATCACTTCCGGTAACCCCGCAGGCCGCCCGCTTCAGGAGGCGGAATAGGAGAAGGGGCAGGGAGGGAACGAGTGGCTAATTGCGTCATGACGTATGCAAAGACGTACGAAGCCGTCGCCAAGTAAGGGCAAAGGCGTAGCGACGCGGAGGGAGGTCTCGGAGAAGATGGGCTGGACCATTTTTTTGGCTAGAATGGGGGGAGGAGAGCGAAAGCAGTAAAGGAAGGGAAAAGGAAAGGAAAAACTTGGCTATATTGTTGGGTATAAGGCGCGGGGTGGGCTAGAGTTTGAAGTTTAAGGGAGGCTCGCGCCTACACCCGACCTGGGACTAACGCTCCCACAGAGGTCCGCCCGGTGGCGTGGTCCGGCCTGGCCTACCGGACCTGCCCGAGCTCCGTCGGCCGCGGCTCTGCTAGGCTCCCGGCGCCGCCTCCTCCCTGCCCGCCGTAGGCTGCGGCGCTTCTGTGGGTGGGGGAAGGCTGGACTGACGCAGAGTGAGTGTAGAGGATGGAGACGCTGACTCCTGGCGCGGGAGACTGGGGGGAAAGGGGTTGGCTCCCCAGGGGCAGGGATGGGGTGGGGGTAGGGGCGCGACGTTGCTAGGAGACGAGCCTGTGTGACCCCAGTCCCGCGAGGGCGGCTCGGTGTCACCGCCACTGGCCTCGGGAACCTGCCACGGAAGCGGCTCGAGGGCCAGGAAGGGGAGGCCTGGTTTGGGGTCCATCTGGGACTTCTCTGAATCCTTTGGACCTCCGAATGTGCAAATCCGGGGGCAAGAGGCGTCTAGCTGAGGAAGGTTGACCTAAGGCAGGATACTGAGACTGTGGAAAATGACAACCAGCTTCTTAATTCTCTTGGTCCGCAAAAGGCGTTGCTCAGTGATTTTTTTATTCGAGTCTGGGAGAAAGTTAAAAAGTAAATCAAAGAAATGCCTCAAAGATAGTAATACCAGGTGAAGTGGTAGAAGATGGGGCAAGAGCCACTCTGAATTGGGTCAGGATGTTCAGAGGAGACCAGGTTTTGCAGAAAACCGAGAAAAGAGGGAAGCCAGGGAATGAGCTTTCTAGGTGGAGAAAAGATCCAACGGGAAGGGATCTGAGGAAGGAAACGCCAGGTACCTGGAGCAGAAAGGAAAGAACTAGAGCCAGCGTGGTCTGTGATGGAGAAGTGGCAGCTTCTGATCAACCAGAGCCTTTTAGCCCAAGGGGAGGGTTTTAAGAAGGAGTGACCAGACCTGATTTATATTTTTAGAAAATCATTCTTAGTTACTGCATAGAGAAGGATAGAAGTATTCAGACCTATTAGGAAGCTGTTGCAGTAGGCAGAGGGAGACGTGACAGTGGAAATGGAGAGAATTAAATTCAGAGTTTATACTGCAAGTAGAGCTTGCAGGGCTTACTGCCAAATTGAATGTGAAGTGTATGGGAAAGGGAGAAACCAAGGATGACTCGTAAGAGAAAGCAATTTGAAAAGACTATTCTTTTGAACATACTAGTTTGAGGATGTCTATTAACCATCCAGGTAAAGATGTGGAGAAGTTAGATATCTTAAGTCAGGGGAAAACTCAGAGAGAGAATAAATTTAGCAGTTTATTTCTGAATCACATAAAAAGAGGATGCAGATGAAGAAGAGGGCCCCTAAACTCTTTGGGAGTCTTTACCTTTGGAGATGATCCAGAGAAGGAAAAGCTAGCAAAGGAGACTTAACACAAACAAGGCCTTAAAAAAGGAGGACCCATAATATCCTAGAATAGTGGGACCTACCCTCATAATCAGCAAGACTCATCCTTAAGGCCTGGCCCAAACCTCTTCCCTCCTTTCCTCTTCCAGTTGGCCATGCTTTGGGACTCCTGCTTAGGTGATTTGTGTTCATTATAGCAAGCCTGACGTTGCTTATTAATTATTTATAGGTTTGAGACATTCTCACCACTCCCACCCCCAGAACTATTTCTTCTTTGTGCCCTGCTGGCTTCCAGTACAGAGCCTTGCCCATAGGGCCCAACATGTAGGAACACTGTGTCCATAATATATCAACCATGGACTTCAACAGCTTCTGACAAAGGGACATTTGTCCCTGCTGCTGCTGCTGCTACTACCTCCACCACTAGATATGGTTGATCTTATAAACTAAAGGGTATCAGAAGAATCAGAAGGCTTGGGGTTCAATCCTGGATCTGCTACGGACTAGCAGAGTGGCCTTGGTTAAGGCCCTTTTCTCTGAGTTTAAGAGGTGGGCCTAGATTACAGATTACAAACTGGCAAGAGATGTTGCCTGCAAACATGGTTTGGTCCACAAATTGATTTAAATTCTTCTTTAAAATTTACTTGCCAACATTTAAAAATTGGATATCAAAACCCAGATTTTCAGCTTCATTTGAAAAATGGGACAATCTGGCAACACCAGCCTGAGGTTCCTGCACAATAGTCAGCTGGAGCCCAGGAGAGTCTTCCTTCATTTACCTGCCTGACCCCTGTGGGCATTTGATTTGCAATTGTTGGTCTAAATCTCTGCTGCCGATATGTAGCCACAAGCTCCAGGATACCTAGCCACAAGCTCTACGCAGCTATTTGAATTTAAATAAAATTTAAAATGTGGTTCCTCAGATGCATACTTCAGGTGACCAATAGCTGCATGTGGCCAGTGGCTATCCTGTTGGGCAGTGAGAATATAGAATATTTACATCATTGGAGCACATTCTCTTGGTCAGTATTGGACTGGAGGCACTTGAAGTTACTCTGGGTGCCAATCATTCTGCACATGTAAAGATGGACAGTCATTGCTCCTGCTCTCAAGGAACTTTGTCTAGTCAGGAGCTCCCGTGCCTATGCAGATGAGGAAGGTTGCTCACCAGGTAGTTAGAGGGTACTTGGAAACTGTCGTGAAGGCAAAGACCCTCTGTGCACAGTTAGGGTTATAGATCAGATGGGTGGATTAAGGGTTAAATGTATCTGATGTTTTAACTAGAGCCCTTTTATCTGTTTCCAATCTGGGTAGTTATGAATGAATGAATGAATGACAGATTGATCTTTAGCCTTGACCTAGTTTTCACTCATTGCCAGTGCGCGCACACACACACACACACCCCCACACACCCCACACACACCCCACATCCCCCCCCTCCTACTTCTGGTAACTGGTTCTCACCACTTCTGATTGCCCCTTACCTTGTCTTCATCTCATGGAATATGCTGATAAGGAAACAGATACTTCCATTTCTTTTAAGTTGAGGGACTGAAACTTGGTTTCCATTTAGAATTTCTGTACCTGAAGGGGCAAATAGCTGTATATCTCTGGGTTACAATAGCCTGATTGGAAGTGCAGGTACAATCTTGTGTGTGCTCCTGTGCTGATATATTTAGAGTGAATGTACTTGCCTTATATCATCTTGTATGGGATAGTTTAGAAACCTTTGAGACATAAATATTTTTGGTTTTTCCCTATATTCTGAAGATTTCCCATGTTACAGAGCCTAACCTAATTTCTTTTCCTTTAGGTAAGATAAAAATATGATCTACCCTCTCCTCCCTGGCCCCTATATGACACACCATGTTGTCACTTTCTGTGTAAAAAGATACTGTTTCAGACAACAGCCGTGGTATGATTCAGTACACCACACAAGCAAATCCTGAGATTTGCAAAACAGCATGTGGTATTATACTTCCCTTTTTGGGTTCTGGTAACCCAAAACTGATTCCAGGTCAGGAAACAAGTTCATGCGGTATGTGTGTGGCAGAGGGAGGGGGCACACAGTTGAGCTTGAAGGCTTTTCAGTTTAGGTAAGGATGGTACTGTGTAGGATATGGGTGTACACCAGAAAGCAGGGAAGAGTAAAAGCACGGAAGGATAAGCAAGGAGTAAGAGATAAGGGAAGAAGAATAGGAAGGGAAGCTTGGTCATGCCTTTGGTGTTGGCACCTACATTGTATTTCCAGTAAGAAGTATGCACTGTGGTCTGAAGATAAGCGATGCCTCTAACAGGGTTATTTACTCATACTGAAGAACAATAGCCCTTTACTATACAGGGATTATTAATGATCAGAGGGAAACAGCTTTAGGAAAATCCATTACTACCACAAAGCAGTAAATTCACCAACAGGCAACACATTTCTTTCCCTCTTCTGCAGACAAAGCTTAGCACAGATAAAAAGAGGCCTCATTGTTCCTCCTTTATTTCCTCCTATTCAGGTAACATTTGCCTTTGTTAACTCCGAATGCTAAGTGATTTAAATGGATTATCATGAACGATCCTTACAGCATCTCTTTGAAGAATGTTCTGTCGTTACCCCATTTAGGAAACTGAGGCTCAGGAAGATTAATAACTTGCCCAAAGCGGTGAAGTCAGGACTCAAACCGAGATCACTCCACAGCCCACTAGTTCATTGTATTGTATCTCCTATTCCTTACATGTGAGGAAAAACTTTGAATGCCTAAAACCAAGGTAGTCACTCTCTACTCTGCTATCTAAGGCAAGAGAATGTTTGGTTTGGCATTATAGGAACACTTTAATTTCCTGAAGTTTTTCCAAATGACAAAAGCTTTAAATTATGATTTTCTGGGTTGGTTTTGACCCCTAGTCATCTGAGTGCAATGGACCTTATTCCCCTAAAGGATTGTTTTTCAAGAAAATAAGTATCAGAACTCCATTTTGCTATATATTTGGTTTTAAGCTTCATGAGAACATAGTATATCATTTCAGTCCACTGGGAAAAAAACAAAAAAACCTAATTGGCCTTAAAAGAACTTGAGGGTGAGGATTATATTATAGCTGTGTGTACTGCCCTAGGAAGTGATAAGGCCGCCTCCAGATAACACAAGTCTTCGTTTCTTTATCCTGACACCCACAGTGCCAGTCTTGTAAACATCATTGTGAGGCTTAATTTGTATTTTTAAATGCTCTAGGGTCTTCAGATGGGAATCCTGGTCCAAATACCACTGCATGTATCTCAGGATGAGAATGAAAATTACTGGTGACTATTCTATGTGGGTAGTTTTTCCTTCTAACAAATATATTTCAAGCTCCAACTCTGTGCCAGCCCTAGGAGTGTACTCACTGAGACATGGTCCCAAACTTCCATCTCTTTCCCAGTCCCGAAACACACACAGTGGAGGAAGAAAAGTCAGTCTGGCAGAAAATCACAGTAGAGTACAATGAACATTATGATCGGGATATAGCAGGGATGCTGGCCCAGTGTGAAGAAGGCACCCCTCAAAAAGGGATGGAAGCCAAAAGATGAGAATCAGCAGGTAGGCAAAGAAAGGATATTTAAGTTGTGTGAGTTGGGGGCTTCATTTGGTAAAAAGCAGCAGCTCCAGATCTAAGGAGATGGGGCAGCAGGACATGGGCTAGGTCTCCACTGGTACACAATGAACACTTAAGACTGATTTCATTGAGTTTCACAATCTCCACTCTCCCCTGACTCCACCAAAATATATATATATATATATATATATATATATATATATATATATATATGTATGTATATATCTCACAAAGT